CACAGGCCTCTCTTACCTTCTGAATCCTTCACTTCTCTTCTCCCCACATCATTCTAGTAAATTTATTGTAATATTAAAATACTTCAGAATAAACAAACTCATAGAGAGATATTTCCTTGGAAAAAAGGAAAACCACACAGGTGCACACTGTTTTGAGTAGTTGTTTTGCAATGAAAGGTTTGGATTCTAAGCAGTAGTTGGATTGCAAACAGCATTTCTGCTTTGCTAGCTGGCTCTATGGTAGACTCTTTCAATAGGGGGCGCTAGAAAGAGCTTGGAGGTTGGAGGAGGGAGAAGGGCTTGCTTCTTGCTTGCCTTCTGATTGAGTGTCATCCCAGCAATGCTTCTTAAAAGCAGTTTATTCCCTTAGTAGCAGCCAAGTCCAGTTTGCAGTTTTTCTAACATATGTAAAATCAGCTTCATTGTGTGTCCCCTCAGAGACACCAGCACCTCCTGGCTGACGCCACCCCAACCCCCAAGAGTACTGCCCGTCTGGTTCACGTACTCCAGAATCTAGAATAATGTCTGGCTATAGAAGGTGCCTAATAAATATTTTGTGAATGAATAAATTCACACAGACCAGAAATATAGTGGATTTCAGATATCAAAAGTAATTCTCTTCTTAGCCCCACTCCTCAAATCCAGACCCTATCTCAGGAGCTTTGCATTAATCTTAGCAAAGTAGGCATTAATTGTCCCATTTTTAGATGAGAAAACTGGGGCTCAAAGCCTTTAGTAGATCAAATAGCTTAACCAACTTCAGTCCTTATACATAACAGATTGGGATTCAAGTTCTACATTTCATCTGAATCCTAAACCTGAGCTCTTTCCCCTGTGCCCTACAACCACTGTGATATTTTAAGGACCAGTGGGAGAGTCATTGACAAAATATAAATATTCTGATGTTACATATACACAACGAGCAAACATTTATTAAAAATAGTATTATAATAATTTTTATATATCTAATGAAAACATGGAAACTGGTACTAAAAGATGCTTTATAAACTTTATGAGAATGATCAGCAGCATACATTCTGGAGAGTCAGGACACATACGGTATATTTCTGGTTCTGAGACTAATTAGCTCTATGAACTTGGGTGGGTCCCAGGACCTCCCTGTGTATCACTTTTCTCACCTGCAAGGTGAGGGAACCAGTTTCTAGGACTTCTGATGCACATACCATTTAGCCTTATAATCTGGCAATTCTATATAGGATATGAAAATGAACTAGCTTATCCCATGCAGACAATGAGAACCATCCAAATGTAATTAAGGTAATAAATAAATGAAAGCATAGATTCATTATTCTTCCATTAAAATGTTTGTATCTCCACATGTGAAAATCTATTCTTACAACTTATGATTTGTGCTACAAAAGGAATTTGCAAAAACATTAAGTAATGTAACATTTTTTTTAAAGCTAGTTTGAGGCTACAATGATTTCTTAAGGTTTTGTTTAGAAACTGTTTTCCTTCACATTGAAAATCAAATAGAGGATTCTGCTTTCTGTTTCTGGCATAATGGTAGAATTTATTGAGAGGTTTATCCAATCAGGTGAATGAAGTAAGGTTTCTTATTTACTTGTCCTTCAATTATGTCTAAAAGGAGGCACTAAAATATTTTGATTAAGTTCTCTCCTTTTTTGTGGCCTTGTATTCAGTTATTATTTGGGGGGTGCATCAGGGAGATTTTAAAGAAATGGCTCAACCAATTAAAGAGAATAGTTGCATCACAAATTAAATTCGATGAAATCTCTGTCCATTGGTTGAGCATCTGGAGGAACTTTGACAGTCTCAGGGATTTAGGGATCTCTGAAACTTGTGACCACTGTAGTGTATGTACAGGTAATAAAGATGCTTCCTCCTTTCCCCCAAGGATGCCACTTCTCTCTCACCTCCAAGGGAGACAGCGAAGGAGGGTAGGGCAGAATGTCAGCAGAAAGAGCCCTGGACTTGGCAGTCACGAGTTCTAGTTCTCCCTTGGCCAGGGCTTTGCTGTTACTTTGGGCAGGTGACCCTCTTTCTCTGGGCTTTATCTGTGAAAGGAAGATTGGAGTAAAATATCCCTGAGACCCTTTCTGGATTTACTAGTCTATGACTTTAGAGCTGAATTTGGGGGACATGCATGGTCCAGAGGAGACTGGCTGAAGAAATTATCTCAACAAAGAGCTGTTATGAGTAAAGATACTAGAAACTGAAAGACTGAGAGCCCCCCACCAGGGAATCCTCCCAGTGGCTATGTTTATATCCCCTGGCAGACAGGCCCACTGTCTGACAGTTACCTTTAGTTAGTGTTGTGTTCCAGGTAGACAAAGCTGACTGGGGGGCTTCTAAGGAAGCCTAACTAGGCTTCCAGAGGAGTCAGGAGAGCGTTTTACTCTTGCGCAAGCTGTCTAATAGGCTTATGCAGCTTGTCCTGGGAGTAACCAAACCGAACCAGTTCTCCCAGGAAAAGTACTATTTGCTCCAGCAGTTATATTAATAGCCTAAGACCTCCTGGGACAGAGACTAATACAAGAAAATTTATTTGTTCTTCCTTCACAATCCAAAGTGTCACATTCTTCTAGGTCAAAGCTGTACCTTTCTTTTCCACCTGGTTTTAATGCAGATAATTGCTATTTTAGTAACCTCCAAGAATCCTATCTAACCAAGGAGAGAAACAGATTAAAAAGGACTATAGAAAAAAATTCCTTAGGTTAGATGTTTTCAATTTACATTTTCATTTGGGTGTTGATGCAATAAAACTAAGTGACCAGATAATTGTCCCCTTCATTTTAGACTTTCATTCTATTTACTGTATTACAGTTAGTCATGTTGAACAGTCCTGGGCCTAGGGGGCCTTCAGAGACAATCTTGTCTGTGGTATGCTAGTAAACTGGTTCTCTAAAAACAAGCATCCAGATTTGTAGCTTTTGCTGGTTTCTGTGGTATAAATACTCTCACTGTGGTCAATTTCAAAGTATCTATGTGATGTTACTGAGTGTGGAATCCGGAAGAGATACCAAAATAGGGTTATAAGAGGCTGGCTAATGGACTATCGGCATTGGATTGATGTCTAGCATTGACTGCTCAGAGTATTCTTACTGTTTCAAAAAGATTTGCCCTCCATTGGACTGTAGTACAAGCACAGTGCAGTGGCCACATGAATTAAATCATATTAATTAAATCATAGTCAAGGCTCTCCTAATCAGCCACACAAACCTTCTCTAACTTTGCATTACCTAGTTTCTCCTGCCCCAAGGATTATATTAGTCTTGTTGTGACTGTCAGTCAAGATGTCCTGCCCTGGCTAAGGGGTGGCCACCTGGTCTAGGCCAGGCCAATAAGACTCTCTCTCTATGAATACTGACTGAACAGAGTGAATTAATTTACAAAGTGGTTGAAGCTGCAAAAGAGGGCACAGTAACATGGCTGCTGCCTTCCTCTCTGGAGCTCTGCGCTAGAGATGCCACAGGGAACTTGAAAGATCTGAGAAGCTGATGTGAAATTTCTGAGATACCTCTGGTTGCATCCTAATCCAGGAGAGAAAGATAGGTAGACAGCACCACAGGCAGAAGATGGCTGGGTGCATGGATGAGCAACATTTGTCTGTACTTCCTTCCGTCCCTCACCTGCCCTAGGGGTTTCACTGCCCCCACTGCCACTCTTCTTGAAGAGAAAAAACCAGCCAACCCAAGACTGGCTGCAGACAACAGAGAGACATCAGGGCCCTGCTGGGACCCAACAAGGATTCCAGAAATTACATAAAAATGACAAGAGGAAAAGACAAATCCTCCAGTTCCTGTGTGTCCTTCTTTCCACCCCTCCTATCACATCTCAAGCACTGGATGATTACAACCAAGGGAAGCAGAGATGGTTGTAAGAAACCAGACCTCCCAGGCAGGAGTATAAGGAGGATGGACCTGAATTAACATCCTAGGTGTTTAGGTGTTCTCTCTTTCTCTTTCTCTCCACCCCACCCCTACCACCACTCCTTCAAGTCACCAACACACACTTTTCTCTCGCTGTCTCTCCCTAAACTCAAAAAGTGGCACAATCTAGGGCCTGAGCTAAAGACCCTGCACTGAGGTTCACATCAGCCAAGGCACCCAGTATTCTGAGAGAGTGTGACTCAAAGAGAAAAAATAACAGAGAAGCACGACTGTGATCAAAGAAAACAGATGAAACAGTAGACACCAAATGAATTTGCAATCATGAATCAGGGAGGGGAAAAAACCCATAAAAACAACACCATGGTCTCCTTCAAGTGCATAAGGAGAACTTGGTAATGTAAAGCAAGTAGTCATAAATGATAACCTATTGGGGATGCTATGCTGGGTATTAAAAACACAGGCTCAGTGGGTGGGGCAGAGAGAGCCCAATGACCAGTCTTTCTGGAGAAGAGTGAAATGAACAATTTGTACCTTTGGCCTAGCAACCCCATTCTAGGCTGTGTTGTTAATCAGTTTTCCCCAAATACACCTGACAATAAGTTCACATGGCACACTTGTGAAACCGAAGGATTCCAGGGCCCCCTGCAGAGCTGCTGCGTCAGAATCTCCAGGGACCTCTCCTCTAACGCCCTAGAGCTGTGAGCTGGCTGCATGATGTGGAAGATTAATTTGGTCGAGGCTAGAGACAGGCCCAAGGGCTGCACCTTGATGGGGATGAGCAGGCTCTTGGGCCCCCTTTCCTCTAAGCCCAGTCCAAGTCTCAGCCCTCTGAGCAGCCCAATGTGATGAGGCAAATACAATGAAAAAAGGGGGAACATGTTCCCTCCTGAGAGCTAGATCAGAGTGCCTCTAATCCTTCTAAACTGTGTCTGGAAAGGATCTTATTTTCCAGTAACAGAATCCAACTCCAATAACTTAGGAAGAACATTATTAGAAGGCTATTTGGGAGCTCCCATTCATGTGACAAGGCTGGAAGAGCAGGGTTTTAATACAGCAGGATTTTAAAACAGCAGCAACTCTCCTTCACTCTGTTAACAATGTCCACTCTTCTTTCTCATCCTCTAGATGCTCTGGGTGCAAGTCAGACACTGGTCCACTGTGCCTCCTCATTGCAGGGACACATACCACACTCTGGCTGGTCTCGGGGATGCCCTTCTTGACTTGAGATGAAGAAAGAAGCATCCCCATCATACTCCCTTTGTGCATATTGGAAAGGACCCAGAGAGCACCTCTCTCCAAATACATTTCCTTCAAAATTTTTTCTCTCAGTTTCAACTCTTTTATGTATTTGACTTGGCTGAAGTAGTCAAGAGTTGTATAAACAGTTTTCATCCTAATTTGTAAGCCCTCTGGGGTGGTCTGTCTTATAACTCACTTTGGTATTTAACATCTATTGTCTTTATGTCTTAGCCAAAACTGGGAAAGAAACCCATTTTTATATATTTTATACGTGAAGAGCATTTATAACACTGTTTAATAAGTGTTAGCTATTATTACTATCCTGGACATAAAACAAGACATGGGTAGTTTAAGATAAGTGGAACTAAAACAAAAAAAACCACTCAGGTTGTCTTTCTTTAACAAATAGCCTTGGATAATAAATTTTATGTTTTCTACATAGAAGAGATTTTGCTCTATTTGGGATACATTAACTACAGTTAAACTTAAGCAGAGCAATGGACTCATGATTTCTTATTTCTAGTTAGTGATGCTTTGAAACTGAGCCACACTAAGCAACGTTTTGTGCAGCAGCAATTGTGACTGGACTGATATGTTCACAAGAGAGCTCATAAGCAATGACATCCCCATAGAAATGAATACACTGGTTTCCAAATATTATTCTTCATTAAAAGGAACCAGGACTCCTTAGATAAATGGCTGGTTCCAGGGCCAGGGCAGGGTAAATGTATGACGAATTTGAAACATTTTATTGCACAAGAAAGTAGAGACATGCTTAAAATATGACAGGAACATGTCAAAAGGACACAGGAACTGGCTTGAAGGGACTCTCTTGGGCAAATCTGGGTCAATTTAAGCATTAAAAAAATTTATAGTAATGGATTATAATCCCTTGAATAAAATAGGAAGCCATGAGTCCATACTGATATAAGCAAACAAATAAATAAATGTAAATTGACAGTCATTATGGAGAACAGTATGAAGGTTCCTTTAGAAATTAAAAATAGAATTAGCATGTGATTTAGCAATTTCTTTCCTGGGTATATATCGAAAGGAATAAAATCACTATCTCAAGGAGATATCTGAGCATGTCTTTGTTTGGGGGAGGTGCACATTTATGTATGTAGAAGCGACGGAGCACCTTATTTGAAGCTTGCACTCAATGGTTCAAAATAGACTAAAGTCTGAAAACTAGAAAAGAGGAAGGACAGAGGAAAAGATGAAGGGTGGGAATGGATAGGAAGAGAGACAAGCTCAAAAAAGGTACAACTGGGGAATCTGGGTGAAGTGGATGTGGGAATTCTTTAAACTGTTGTTGCAATTATTGAAAAATAAATTAATAAAACTATTTCATCATCTAGCTAATCTCTTAACAGTGTTCTAGAGTCACAGTGCTCCTTGGATTACAGATTTTAAATATTATTTAAGTTTCTATTCCTTATCTTAATATCAGTTATTTTGTGACCAAGTCTGAAATGTAGTAGTTCATTCTTGTCTTATTTCCACTACAACACATGGTCAGTGTTAATACCTACTCAGAACCTCTTAAGTGTTGGGTAAAAATGAAGATTCTGAGGCTCTCCAGATCTATGAAGTAAAAAATTGGAACGAGGACCATGAATCTACATTGTTACCAAGCTTCCTTGAGTGATTCTTATGCACACTAAAATTTAAGAGCTATTGTCACATGGTTTCTATAGCATTGAGACTGGTAATTGTGACAATGACCAAAGAAATGCCTTCAAGACAAACAAAATTATATCATGAAATCCTAATTTTAAATCTAATTATTTTTCAATTCCTTGGAGTACTTATTCAAGTAATTTTTATGGATCCTTGCATCCTTGAGAATTTCTGTTCACATTACACAGAAAGCTTGGTTGAGTGTAAAATTCTTGGGGCGTACACTTTCCCTCTCAAAATGCTGTAGATATTGCCGATTGAGTTCTGGAATTTAACATCTCAGAGAAATTTGAGGAATGCCTAAGTTTTGTTCTGTTTTTAGAGTTCTAGTATTAATTTTCTGCCTGGATGCTTCTATACTCATTAATCATTTCATTTTTTAAAATTGCCAAGATGTGCCATTGATCTGGCCTGTTGTACTACTCAGAATGTGTAACATGAATATACAATAATACTAAGAATGCTTTCCAACACAGGATAATTTCCTTCCATTCCATCTTTGACTATTGGTCTGGTGAGTATCATGCCAGATCCCGTCAATCCTCCTCACCTTTACTCCTACTCTCTGCATGTCCCCTGAAATGTACTCTTGCCTCCTTTGCCTGCAAAATCCCTCCTCATTATTTTCATCATGGCTTAATAAAACATACCAATTTATAAGTATGTTGTTTAAAAAGCAAAGTAGATGTTTATAATTTTTTGCAAATGTTTTTCTCTTCTGTGCTTTTTAAATTGTGAAACATACATACACACAAAAGACATAAAAAAATACAAATACTTGTGTACCCACCATCCCGGTTGAGAAAGAGAACTTTAAAAGTACTTTAGAAGTCCCCTCCATGCCTCTCCTTTATTACCTTTTAAAAACATATTTCCCATCTAAGAATACATACTTAGCTATCATATTTAGCTTTGAAAAATTAAGAGGCAAACACAAATTTAGCAGTGTCAGGAAAGGCAGAATTGTCCCTATTTAATGAAGGCTCCCAGATAATGGGCACAGTCTCTGAGTCATGGTCTGGCTTCATCTTCCCTGACTGTTACCCACGGTTGGAAGTCAGTGGGCAAAGTCATAAATAAGTCCTAGGAAACTTAGGGCCTGCAGGCATCTGAGAGAACTATGGAGTGGAGTACAGGTCATCCAGAAGAAATATGGTTAGAAAGAGTGAGCTGTACTGTATTTTCTCCTTTGCTTACCATGTTTTACTTCCCGCTCTCAAGTAATTCAAATCAGAATATTTTGTGTGAAATGAGTATCTTAAACTAACACTGGCAGTAGGACTTGGAGGAGAGAGTAGTAATAAACCTTTTCAAAGGTTTAACATTTGTTCAGATACAACTTTTTACCAACTAAAAAATTTTAATTCCTCTTTTTTGCTGCCTTCCCAAACTAAAACAAAACCTGTTAGCACCTCCACAGCATAAAGCCAATTTATACATCCGCTAGAGCAATTTTTGGATTTATCGCCCTCTCGTGGCATTTCAAGGAACTAGCCTGTGTGTTGTCAAAGAGAGGCTATCTGCTGCTGTTGCTATTAAAATCTCAATGGAATGCATCCCTCTGTTTTTAATATTTTCCTAATTGAATATGCATGATTTTTGTAATCATAAAAAAGCTATAATTTTCAAAGTAATTTGATGAGTTTCTCATACAACATAAGGACATTAGGAAGCTGAACAAACGTACAAATATAAATTATATGTTTATGAAATACAACCTATTTCTAATGTTACTTTGTTTTTATTTCTTACTCTTAGTTGAATTATAACCTTCAAATGAATTTTTTGTAATTCAAATATTTATAAATAAATATCTGAAGTTCTTTGTAATAAAAAATCCATTGTTTTATATAGCAAAAATCCAAATTGTTTCTGCTGCTCAATTTCAAAATAAATCTGAAATCTTTAATATGCATATTTAAGTATGTTTACTTAAACAAGCACATATGAAAATGTGCAAAATAAATGTTCTTGGATTATCTATTTAACAAAACGCCTTTTTTTACACACCTCCCGTCACTGGATTGTCATACAGGTCTGTGCCTGTGAGCAAGGCTACACATCCCCATGCTGTGGGTAGAGCAGAGGACCCTGTTTGTTTTGTGTTCTAGATGAGATAGGGCATGATTTGTATACCAGATTACACCAATGTTTCTAAGCAATTGCATAATATCAGACAAGAAAGCCTATTAGATCAAGGAATTATTTAACTCACAAATTTTACATATATACATATGTATCTCATATGCATATATATTTGTATCTAAGCCTCATAAAATTATTTAAACTTTCAAATATTTTATATAGCAAAGGAGTTCTCGCTAAGCAAATATAAGATAAATGTATATTGCCAGATGGGAGCCACAGAAGATAGAGATGGGAGAGATAACCCCCTCCCCTATCCTCCCTGAGAGCAGAAACAGTGCTTGTCACGAGTTTAATCAATCTGGGTCCAGTCTTTTCATTTTCTGCTCATGTCTATGGCCCAGTAACTGCCTACGTTTTCCATTCTTCTTCTTTTTTCAAATAAGCATTCTTATTCCAGCTACCCTGCTGCTGCTCCTACTATTTTATATTGGGTATGGTCAGAGAGAATGACTTGTCTTTTGGTTTATAAGTTAAGTGGCTAGACCAAGAAGAGCCCCATTTGGGCCTGATGAAGAGGACTGAACATCACCCAGAGATCATAGGTACTGAGCTGGATGCACTGGCTAAATAGGATCTCAGGATTATCTCCACTGGGGAAGGGGTGAATGTGCATTATGTGTAGGATTAGGGTGTGCATGAACATGTGTGTCCACCAGGACTGGGGCAGAGACTGTTAGTTGTCAGAATGTTTGATCTTCCCTTTTTCAACATCAATAGATTTTCAACTGTTTATAGTTAACTGTTCACAGAACCATGACATTTCCGCTAGCCTGTTTTGCAACTAGCGTGTGGTTATGTGACTAAGTTCCAAGACATGGAACAGAAGCATAAATAATGTGCATGACTTCTGGGTGTGACCATAAAAGGACAATGCACATTCTCCCTTTCAATTTCTCCCTCTCCCCACTGGCTGGACTGCACAGAGAATGTCGAGCTGTCTGGAACATAGGCATGAGCACAACACACTAGGAATGGTGCAGCAACACGATAGAGCCCAGGGCCCTTGACATCTTTGCATTACAGAGCCAAGCTTCAACTTCCAAGAGAAATAAACTTTTATGTCATTCAAACTACTGGCATTTAAGGTCTTTTTCTTACACGGTTCAATCTTCATTCTAAAAACAAACAAAAAGCCAAGGAAAAAAGCAGCTATCATAAAGGGCAGAATCCAACAAAATTTGGAGATTTGGGGAAAACATTCTGGAGAAGTAAAGTTAAGTTTAATCTCAAATCTAAAGAATCCCAGAAATTAGTCTGGAAAAGCTCTGACATGAGAACTAGCATAGGATGTTGAGGTACTGAGAGAAGCTAATATGGAAGGAGACAGAAGGTGTATCATGCTGAATCTGGAGCAATAAGCACAACCCAGATAATTATGAGCATTGCAGTCATCCTGACTACGGAAGGTGAAGAAGATGAGAAGTCAAAAGTAAATTCCATATTTCTGGCTCAGTTAACTGTGCAGATTGTAGAATTATTTGCCAAGAAAAGAAACAACAGAGAAGTAGAACGTTTTGGTGGGAAGATGAGTTCACTTTTGGATATGTTGAGTTTGAGTTGTTTGTAAGTAGGCAATTAGATATGTGGATCTGGTGTTCAGAATTAAGATTTTGGGTGGAAATACAAGTTTTGGAGCCATTGGCAAATGAACGGTAAATAAAGCTATGAGAATGGATAGGAACACCTAGGGTTAAAGTCTATGCTGAGAAAAGAATATAATAGAAGAGGGTCTAATATACAGCTCTGAAAGAATTCCTATATTATACAATTGAATATAATTGTATATATTATACAATTACACAGTTCCAGGGGGAACTGATCAGGGAGATTAGAAAGAAATGGCCAGAGAAAGGAAGGAAGCCAGGCAAGTGTGTTGCCATGGAGACCAAAGTAAGACAGAGTTTCCGTAAGTAAAGAATGGCTAACAATATAGGGTGCTGTTGAAAGGTCAACTAGGATGAGCTCTGACAAGAGCCTACTGGGTTTAACCACATGGAGATAATTGGTGACTTCAATGGAGCAGTAAAGGCCCTGCACTGTGGGGGTGGAATCCAAATTAGGGTAGACTATATAGTAAATGGATGGTG